GACAAAAAGACCACATCGACATCCTTGAGCGGCAAAGCATTCCTGGAACTTGTTTTCCTTGTTTCCTCCGGTATCAAATTCCTTAAGGATTCGTTCAAGGTATAATAATTTGATTTCAGAGTATGTAGCATGCTTGTGGCAAAGTTTCGTTTTGACTGTACTTCAAAAAAACTGGTTAATGTTAGTAGATGGTGGCTGAGCAGGCTCTTATGTCTGCGTTTGTGCTGTACAATCACTCTTTTGTCCATTTCTGTTAATGTCACAGTAAGTGAACCAACAGACGCGTCTCCTTCGATGCAAAATCGCGTGTCTCATCCATGACTAGAAAAGAAGAAATTCGCCTATCTCAATTACCTAACATAGCGACCATTGGTATTGGGTAACTTCACTCTTGGAATCTCTCGTGCCACCACTTTCCATCACAGCTCACTATCGCCTCCCTTCGGTTACATATTTGCAAACTGATTTAACTAGAATTTCACTGCACATGGCAAGATTCAAAGTTGATGTGTGCTGTGGAAGGGTCTTTGACTACAACTGGAGAGATGGAACAATTCAACGATATCTATTTTAATATCTTCGTGATTTAATTTGACACATATGTTGCATCTTCATATGTCTGCTGCATCGCATCGGTCGACTAGTTATACCGGAGATGGATACCGTCACTTACAGTAATTGTTTCAGATATTAAGTTGTCCGTTGGATATCGTTCTTGAACCATTTTTACCTCCAATCATACATGGTGAATTTATGCATTATAAGAGTCTCCAAGGGACCATGTATCATTATTTTTGATACACTAGCATGCAATCCAGATCTAGCTTGTACTCAGTGATTGGTGCAGCGGCATATCACTGCCATCAACTTCATTTGGCCTTATCTTTTTTACCAACCAAATCCAAAATGTGTGACTGTAGCAATCCTAAGTTGCTGACACTCCGACAGGAATTACATCCAGCAGCATGTCTCACCAAACATAACCATATAATATAATGATAGACATAATGACATAATGTTTGTACGCATTGAACTCCTTAGATTTCAATTTTGTCTAAAGACTTACTGTATTATACGCAATCAATGGTTAATTGCCCACGGAAATGAACATATTGATTTCTCTATCCAGTGCTGGATTGCATGTAAATGTGATGAACACATCTGCTGTACCTTAATGACGAACATACGACATGGCATCTTGAGCATATTCGGCATAATGTCGAGGGCTTCCGATGTATTTTGCTGGAAGATTAGTCATCTGACCCCATTCTGTTGCAATTTCATCAGTATTAATCACATCTCGAAGGTGAATATACTCTCAGGATCGAGTTTGCGAGTCTTCGATTCAACCTGATGAAGTTACTCTCCGCCATTTTCAATATTTAACATACAATGTCAACAATAGTATTTGTGATATAATCGCCCACATTTC